AGTTTTTTATTTTAAGATTTTTATGAATTTTTGCATATTATTGTTTGTTGGACGACGACACGATGTTAAAGTTTTTTGAAAAATTGTGTTTGCCTTTATTCTTTTAATTCTTTAGAGATATGAGTTTTTGGAAAAAAATTATTGAATTAAAAAAATCAAATTTTGATTTTTTTTAATCTTTTTTTAATTAAAAAATCAATTTTATTTGCGTATTTTTTCTAGAAAGATGAGTTTTTTGAAAAAAAAATTCTTTTATTTAAAAAAATCAAATTGGATATTTTTATATATGTTTTCATATCCATATTTCTTTTTTTTTTTCATTTGAATTTGTGTTTTTTTTATATGTTGTATTTTTTTGAAAGACATGATGTAAAAAATCATATTTGTTTGATTTTTGTGTTGTGTTCTTATTTTTTTATGGGATATGAATTGTTTGTGATTTTTTTTTGTATTTAATTTTTCAAAACTCATGAAAATAATAAAAAAAAGGTTGAAGCCTTGATATAGTGACAAATGTCACTAATTATCAAAGACGATTTGAAATTAGTTTTATAGATATAATGATTAATATATTATAAAAAATAACAAATTGTTAAATCTCAAACACATTTTAAGAAAAAAATACACTAAATAGCTATTTACAAAATGCCAAATATTATTTAAAAATACTACTTAAAGTAATTATAATATATAAAAGAAATCTTTATTATGTGGATGTTATTTTTGACTTCTTTACTAACCTTAAAAACAAATATAAATAATTAGTAGGTGAAATTAATTATTAGTTTCATAGGATGTGCTCTAAAGCCTTATTTGGATTTAAATGCAAGCATGATGTGGCGCCTCATTGTATTGCATCTATAGTTATAAGATCTAGTAAAAATTCGCAACTTTATTCCATTTTTAACTTTTTTTTGTTTTAATTTTTTTTCAACAATTGTCCATTTTTTTAATTTTGTTTTACTTTTATTATTTTAGTTAAAAATTTTCAAAATGATTTATTTTTAATAAGATAAAATTATTAATTAACAAATTTATTATTTAATATAAAAATAATTTAATAATTTAAATTATTTATTAGTTTATAAAATAAAATAATTTTAAAACTTTTATTACATATAAATTTTAATTGAATGTCTTTAATAGTCATTTATCTTCTCATTAAAATTCATTCCATGGTCAATGCAGTGTTTTTTTCCAAAATCGTACCCCCATTGCTAATTTTATTCTCATCACTATATTAATCAATTTTACCTCCACAACATATTTTAATTTCAGAACTAATTTCATTATTCATTCAAAATGATTATAAGAGAAGGAATGTTCAAATGTTATTATTATGCTATTGTTCACTTTTTTAAATAAGAATTAATTTTTGATGCACTGATAGTGTAAAGTATTATACACGATTAATCGATTATAATATGACACTTTATTAATGAGTAAAATTAAAAATAATCTAATCCTTAAAATAAATATTAATGAGTTTAATTAATTACCAAAACTAATTTATTTGTAAGGACCTGATTATATTTAGTTTTACTCAATGTCATCATATGGTTGATTGATAATGCATAGTATTTATATACTATTAGTATATAAAATATTAACTACTTTAATAATTAATGAAATTATCTCTTTGCTTAAAAAAAGAAAGAAAGAAAATTATTTTTAATTAAAAAGAAAATGAAAACATTAAGGGACGTTTGATTTACAAAACCTAAGATTTCAATTGAGAAAGTGATTCCCCCTAAATTATTTAACTTGATAGATTCCAAATAATAAAAGATTTTGGTGCTTGGTTTTAGGATAAGAGAATGTTAAATTTTTACATTTGGTTTGCAGAATTTAAGATTATCTAATAATTTTTTTTATTATTTTGACTTTGATTACACATGAATAATAAATAACATTCATAAAATCATTTAAATAATTAATTTATTTGACATTTTCATAATATATTTACTTATTTATCTTGTAAGCGGTCTGACTAAATTAATTTATATTTATATAAGTGTAACTTGCTTTATTTACTTATAAATTTTTTTTATATAAATATAAAATGTAAATTTAATATTTTTATGTATCTAACACAAAAAATGACAGCTGAAAGTTTTGAACATAATGTAAAACATGACAATTGTTTGTTTCAAACAAAATCTAACTTAAAATATCAAGTCAACATATTAAAAGAAATCAACGATTTTTACAAGTAACAACTTTGTAGTCGGAGAATAACGTAGTCAAGTAGAATTATTGAAGATAAATGATAACTAAGCGCAACGAGTTAGGTTGAAACAAAAAGGGGTTTGGGGTAGGCCTTTGTTTGGCTTTGGGATGAAAATAATATGACTATAGTTATTATAACGGACGTCGTCTATTAACATAATAAAAATCATTTATATGATATAAATATTATCTATTATGATACTAGATGACATTTACTTTCTCAAATATCATTTATTTTGTAATTAGACAATAACGTTTAATATAAAAAATTTGTTTACTTAACTACAATTTTTTAATCAATTAAAAATAAATATTTTGTGACAAATGTTTGTTTAATTTCCTATAATTAGAATATTATTGATATATATATATATATATGTTAACAATTTTTATTATATATTTATTAAATTAAATTAAATTATGTGTAAAACACTCAATTAAAAAATATACTAATATAGTTGAATAAATTTCTATTTTGTATAAAAAGATATTTTCCATTGGAGATGCCGAATGTCAAATATTGGGAAGAATAAGAAAGCACCCCTAAAAGAGGTGAACATTATATATTTATGAATACAATGTGACTATGGTTGTTATAATGAACAGCATCTATTAAAATAGTGCATGAGCTTTATATGCAGTAAACATCGTCAATTATGATACTAGACGATGTTTACCTTTTCAAAATCATCTATTTTGTAACTAGACGATAATATTTAATATAAAAATGTTATCTATTAAATTAAATTTTATTATCAATTGAAAATAAATATTTATTACGAACGTTTGTTTCATTTTAAATAATTATAATATTACTAAAATAATATATATATGTTTTTATTATTATTATATCTTTATTAAATAAAATCATATTATTTGTTAAAAATTCAATTAAAAATTTAATTAAATTAATTAAATTAAGTTCTATTTTGTATAAAATATTTTCCCATTAACGATGCTAGATGTCAAAAATTGAAGTTTCGAATGGCTTTACGTGTGTCAAATAGGCCATTGATTTTATGATGTAAATTTCATAGTATTAAAGGGTATAATAGACCCAAAATAATAATTATTGAACCAAATGCCTTATGAAAATTAACTTGGCTTAGATTAGGGATATAACTAATCGAGTTCGAGCTGATATAGTATTCAACTCAAGCTTAATTTCGATTCAAAATTCGATACTCAAAACTTGATTCAAACTCGATCGAGTTTTATTTTTTTAACTCAAACTCAATTCGAGATAGAAACCGAGCTACTTGAACTCATTTGATTAGGCTTGATTAACATGTAAAAATAAGCTCGATTTTTATATTAGATAAAAATTTGATTATTTGTACTCGACCTTGAATTCGAGTTCAAGATATTTCATTAATTAAAATAATAAAAATATATTTAAATATAAAAGCTTAATTAGGCTTATAAGCAACTCGAGTCGAATATAAGAATGTTAGAACTCAACTTGATTGATGAGTTGAGCTATTCGTGCTTGACTCAATAATGATCGAATCGAATTCAAATTTTATTCGAATTTTATTCGAATTAAATTCGAGTAATTTACAAGTATTAATGTATCATTTACATCCCTAACTTAAACTTAAATTGGATGTAATCAGACTTCTGATGGGAGGTCGGTTATTGAAAGGCTTATTGCCATCCATTTTTGAGTCGACTAGCTAGTTAAAATCCAAATAGATCTTTGAATCTAAATAGATCTCTGGTGCAGTGCATCCGATGATGATCAATCACCAAACTTTTTTGGTTTAGTGGTTGATCGCACCTTCAATTTATTTTTTTTCGTCTTTGTCCTTCAATTTTTGCATTAAACCCTAAAATGCCTCATCTCTTGTTAACTTAGTTTTTCTTTTAATTTATTATTATCTAATAAATGAAAAAATATTTGATACACTTTTAGTGAAATTTTTTAACTCCACAAATGAGATTAATAAGGTGACACATATATTATTTGTTTTTAAATTAGTTTTTCTTTTTATTTTTTAAATATAAAAGAAGAGATACGTGTCACCTTATTAATCTTGCTTGTAATGTTAAAAACTCTATTATCAGTGTATTAAATAATTTATCATAATAAATTAATAAATAAAATTTATTATTATATAATAAATTAATAAATAAATAAATCTTATTTTATTTTTATTATTCATTTTAAATTGTTTATTAATTTTTATTTTAATGTACTTAATGATTATTTTATTTTCTTACTATAATTCATCTCATCGTTATCACTATTTTTGCATACAAATACATATGCCACAATTAGGGATAAGAAAACAACCGAAAAAATTAAAAACCAATTTAAATTTGTAATATTCAGTTTAGTTAAGATCGATTTTTTTCATACTTAGTTCGAAAGTTAAATATATATATTAAGTTCAAATCAAATTTTATATTAATAAATAAAAAATTGAACCAAATTATATATTTTATTAGTCTATATTATTTTAAATTTTTATAAAATAAATTAAGTATTTTATACTTAAATCTATTAAAATTATATTAAAATAATAAAAACTTTTAAAAATTAATTTTTAAAATCAAAATTGTACTAGTAAAATTTAATTCCGATTAGTTTTTTAAAAAGTAGGTTTAATTCAAATTAGATTTTAAAAATTCATTGCAATAACCGAACCAAAATCAAACTCAGTTATTATCATATTTATCCATAAATAATTTTACTATTACGATTATAGTAATTAATATAACATACACTATTATTTTCAATGTAATCAATATCAATTTTAGTAAATATATGTAACCTAACCTAGTGGGACGCGTCAGTTGTCCCTCAATAATCAACATGCTCGGGTGAATCAAAATTCAAAGATCCAATTCAAAAGCGGGAAAGGCTGTAGTAAGCTTAACTTTTTTGAAGGCCCCCATTTTAATTAATATTTACTCCGATCGTCTCAAAATTTCATCGGAGTTGAGAGGGATTTCATTTTCCATAGAAGCAATAAGTTATGGCGGATAAGCAGAAGAGTAGTATCCGAAAGCCATTAAGCTTAAACGATAGCCACTATCGTTTTCTCCAAGATTTCTCCGCTCCTCCCAAACCCTCATCCTCCAGTACGATCTCTTTCCTTTCTTTCTCTTGGCTTTTTTTTTTTTTTTAAGTACCAATTTTGGTTCAGTTCTGAAATGGGTTTTTTGGGCTATGTCTTAAGATTGTCGGATTCATATTGGTCACTGGAGTTAGATCAATACTTTATCAACAGATCATGCGGAAACAGCCTTTTTGGGCTGTGTCTTTATTATTAATTTGATTGTTATTGCTTTTGCAGAAGAAGAAGAGTCTGAGGAGGAGGCATTCCAAGTTCGACGTCGTCTTTGCAAACAAATCCATAAGGATGATTCTATTCCTCACTTCTCTGGAATCACCGATTTTGATTCTCCTCTTGGTATAAAAACTTGTTCATTATTCTTTCTTTAAATCTCTACATGCCTTTTTTTTTTTTTTGTCTCTCTTTTTATTTGGTGGGTTTGGATTTTGTTTACTAAAAAGTATATTTTGATTTTTACATAATTTTTTCCCTCATTTGTTAAATGGGTTTTGATGCCGATCAAGTACAAATTTGGGGAAGGGAGATTGAAACCCTACTCATTGAGGAGGGATATATTTACCTATAATTATAATTGAGCTAAATGCTTAGATGTGGATTTTGATTTTCTTTTCAAAATGTTTTCAATTTACATGCTTCTTTTTCCTGCTTTGTTCAATCGATTCTGATTCTTTTTTTTCTTAGAAGGACAATCTATTTTATCCGTTTACATGGTTTTTATCTGCCTTTTGTTTGATGGGTTTTAATTTTCTTTTCTTAAAGATAATATCTTTTTATGTTTAGATGTCTTTCTTTCCCCTTTTTCTGTTGCTTTATTTGAAATTTGTTTTTATTTTCTAATGGATAATCTGTTTGATTTCTTTTCCCTTTTTCTCTTTTTCTTTTTTTTTTTTTCTGAAACAATATGCTTTTTTTTGAATGAATGAATTTTAGAAGAAGCAAAGCCCGCAAAGGTGAAGATTGAGGGTAGGCGCCGATTGTGTAAAATCTCATCTCAAGATGGTGGGGATGCTGAAAAAACATCAATTCCTAATGAACCTAACTTTTCTGAAATTTGTGATTTTGATTCACCGTTGCTGACAAAGAATGTTTGTGAGGGTGGAAGTCAAATTAGAGATATTTTAAATGACTTGAGCTCCAAGCTTGACCTTTTGTCTATAGATAAAAAAGCAGCCCCCAAAATGAATTTTATGGAATATGCTAGTGCCGAGTCTTCATTTTCTGGTACATCTGATCCATCTGATTCGTCATCACGTGCAACTAAGAATGTTGGAGGTGGTGTTGAGGATGTAGTTGATTTGTGTGAAGTTGAAGTTGATTTTGTTCATAAGGTTCATAAAACCAATGACATAAGCGTAGGGTTGATGAAGAAGGAATCAAAAAGGGTTAATGAGAAATTGGTGTCTGCAAGACAGTCTTTTGATTCAAATATTGAAGGAGAAGAAAAGAGCGAATTGCAGAGTGACGTTTTTGTTACTAGGGTACATGAATCTAAGAAAAATTTTCAAAGGCTAAAGAAGAGTGAACCAAAAAATGCATACGAGCAGTTGTGGTCTGTGGGCAGGCCTTGTGCATCTAAATATGGAGAAGAAGAGGATGATGATGATGATTGTGTAGTTTTAAATAACAAGCAAGCATTTAAAACAGCTGTGGGGCTTGGTGGTGACTTGAAGAAGTATGATCAGTCTGAGGAAGTTGATGAGCTTGATGATTATGGAGATGACATGTTATCAGAAGGTGACCACCCTATTGTTTTGAGTGGCCCGAAATCAACCTTTAAGCTGCCAACTAAACTTGCGAAAATATTGTACCCACATCAGCGCGAGGGATTGAAATGGCTTTGGTCTTTGCATTGCCAGGGTAAGGGTGGAATCTTAGGGGATGATATGGGCCTGGGAAAAACAATGCAGGTAAGGAAATGCATTTATGTGTGTGTGTGTGTGCGCGTCTCTCTCTCTCTCTCTCTATATATATATATATATGTTGTTATATGGTATGATTCTTATTTGTTATTTTGGTAGATCTGTGGCTTTCTAGCAGGGTTGTTTCGTTCAAAGTTGATTACAAGAGCTTTAATAGTTGCGCCAAAAACGTTGCTTTCTCATTGGATTAAAGAACTATCTGTTGTGGGGCTTTCTTCGAAGACTAGAGAGTGAGGCTATTTAACTTTAAAATTTCACTGTATCCTCTGATGTTAAAATTGATGTTGAATTAGTATGAATCATCATTTATTTGCACTTTTGTAAAGGTACTTTGCAACTTCTGCTAAAACTCGGCAATATGAGCTCGAATATATACTTCAGGTCAGAGCTGTTGATTTAGCATCCAATAATGATGCCATATATAAAAAAAAAAAAATCATATTCTGCTTCTGAACAAGAGACACAAGTGCAACTTTGAGACTCATTTGAATTTTAAGGAAGCTAACATTTTGCAAGTTTTACAAGGTTTCAAGCTTTTTCTACTTTGGTCAACATGAAAGTTTAATTGGTTTTAGAAATTTTTGAATGTTTGAAATTATTTCTTCATTTATGTTGCTGCTGTTCAATTTGTGTGTATAGAATTCATACCAAAATGATTGCAATTCCTCTTTTAGCTTGATATTGTGCACCATATTAGTGTTTCATGTTTGTTAGCTTTTCTTATCTTTTAGGATGGAGGTATTCTTCTTACAACTTATGATATTGTGCGGAACAACTCTAAATCTTTAAAAGGAGAAAGCTACTACAGTGATGACGATTATGAGGATGGTATCATATGGGACTATATGATTCTTGATGAGGTAGATATTGTTGCAATGCCATTTGTAATTCAAAATTTTTAGGCTTTGGTTACCTAATGAATTTGTGCAATTTCTAATTTTTGTGAACGGTGGAGTTTTTTTTTATATTTTTTGTGGGGTTCATATTCAAAGGCTGTTGAATAGTGCAAAATAGGATAAATCAAATGAATGTACTTTAAGTATGTTTTCTTATTCAAAGGCTGTTGAATTTGCAAAATCGTGTAAATCCGATAAATGTATTTTGAGTATGTTTTGTTTTATCTGACTCTTGCACACTCATTATCTTGATTGACAAAAAATGTATACATGCTGAGCATTAAATCTCCATCAGGGCATCCTATTGCTAGATCTTGGAATGGGAAGGAAGGTGCAGGTAGGTATATGGGTTATCTTTCTTGGTTATAACGTGTAAGGGGGACAATGAGCAAGATTAGTTATCTTGCTTTGGGAAAAGTCTTATATACACCATAATATACAACTTATTGCAGGTCTCTATGTTTAGTGCGCCTCTAGAAAAGCTGTTTATTGGCTGTTACAAACAGACTCTCATTCCGCTCTTTTAGTGATCCTTTTTCTTGTACATTGATGGGCATTGAGATTGTATCTGTAGACCTGAAATCTTGTCTGATGTAGATGTTTTACTTTCTTTTTGTTCATCAATTGATGTTTTAATTGTTCATTGCTAATTCCAATCTTTTGCATCAAATTTTTATTCACATAACAATTACTAGAAATTTTGTTTGACCATTTGGAGAGGTATATTTGGTAAACTTATAGTTTTTATTGATGTATAATTGTATATGTATGGTGAGTTAATCTTTTATATGTATTAAGCAATAACAATTACTACGATTGGTTGGTAGTTTCAGTAAAACTATATAAATAGATATCTCAGTAAATGTTGTGCATCTTATGAGTTTATTGATGCTTTCATGTATGTTTGCTAATTTTAAGTCCCTTTTTTTATTATTTATTTAAGTTTTGAAGGTTAAAGAATTCATCCTCTATAAAAAGGGAAAATATTGATTTGAAGAGCGGTGACAGTTGTAATGTACTGAATTGTTTAGCACCTTAGGACTTCTTTTATGACAGTTTCAATTTTTTTGATGTTATGTTAGGTACAAATAAGTTTTTGTTTTCTTTGTTTCTTTTAGCTCCTATTTGGCATAATGAAGTATTTTGTACTGCCTAGTGTTGTACACTGATTTTATCACATAAAGCTGGTAATAAAATGTTTAGCAGTATTTTACTATGTCTGAGGCAAAAGGTGGCCTAAGGTTTAAGCTTTTGGCATGGCTAGAACAGATGTTTAAGCTTTATTTTCTGCAGGTTAAATCATACGAGGTTTGTGTTGAAAATCTTCAGATACCTTACAAATGATCTACTATTGAAGCAAGATAAGCTTCAAAAATAAAAATGGGGTCATGGAAATAATTAAATTTTAGGATTGTTGGGTAATATATTGTCTTGCTTGATGATGTACTTTTTCAGCTATTAGTTGCCTGCTGAAGATGACAGCACAAGGATGCCAACACACACCATTTTTCCCTTTACATTTTCCCTTTGCTTAATATCTTGTTTCCTTCTGAATATGTCGTCTTTTCTATAAGTGCTTAATGTTCCTTTATTTGACTTAGATACTGCATTACCACTCCAGGGGCATCTCATAAAAAATCCTAGCACACAAAGGGCGAAAAGTTTGCTTGATATATCAAGTGCTCATCGGATAGTCATAAGTGGTACACCAATTCAGAACAATCTTAAGGTAACATTTTGACATTTATCTTTATCTTTCTTTCTATTGCCTTGGTGTACTGTATTTTTGTTTATGTTGAAAGCAAACTTTAGAGTATCATATTCCACTTTGTTTTTTGTTTTTGTTGTTTTGTACTAGGAACTTTGGGCCTTGTTCAACTTCTGTTGTCCTGAGCTACTCGGTGATAATAAATGGTAATTGTTTTATTCACACTCCACTTGAGTTTCTTATGTTTCACCTTCTTGTCACTGAAGCTCAGACATTTTCTTAGGTTTAAGGAAAGATATGAGCATGCTATTTTACGTGGAAATGACAAAAATGCCTCTGAGAGGGAAAAGTGTATTGGCTCAAGAGTTGCCAAGGTGTTGTTTTAATTTGCATTGCCTGATTACAATGTGCTTTGATGAGTTAAATCTTGGGCATCTTTCTGTTGTTATTCTGATGTTAAAGTCAAATTGCTTTTCTGTGGAGATGCAGTTTTGCAGAAACTATTGTTATCTATCTTTAGATTCCTGACCATCTATGGATATTATTACTTGCTCAATTTGCTTTAGTACACATCAATCTTTTCTGCCTCCACTCACACAAGATTACTTTGTAAAAAGTTGATTTTAAACTCAAACTGCTTTTCTGTGAAAATGCAGTGTTGCAGAAACTATGCTATCTATAATCAATCTAGATTCCTGACCAGCCATTGCTGTTTTTACTTGTTTAATTTGCTTTAGTACACAACAATCTTTGCTGCCTCCAGTCTCACATGACTTACTTTGTAAAAAGTTGATTTAAAAGGCAATATCATGTGTCTATTTGCTTAATGTTCTGAATATAAGTACACAGTCAAGTTTACCATGTAAGGTCTTGGTAAAATCTGATGGAAGATAAATGCTGCAGTTTTTGGTGATGTTGCAAATAAATGCATCATGGATCAGGTGAAATTTATTAGTGAAGAATTGCAATTCAGGGAGCCTAATTTACTTTTTTCAATTTTTAATTATGTGTGCTTAACTTCCATCTTAACTTATATTCTATAAATGTCCTTTATGTTTAGGACCATTATACCTGCCATTGCTTGTTTTGTTTTCTCTTGTTATGACCATTGACAGGTTTTTGAAATACAAGAACATTTTTTTTTAATATTTTTCCCTTTTTCCCTTCTATGCAGGAGCTTAGAGAACATATTCAGACTTACTTTTTGCGTCGGTTAAAGAAAGAGGTTTTTTGTGAAGATGATGCCACCACTGCCAAGCTTTCTAAGAAAAATGAGATCATTGTGTGGTTAAAGTTGACTGGTTGCCAGGTTCAAATTCATTAACCGTGGCTTTATATTTTGAATGTTACTACTGGTTGTGGATTTATTAGTTTTTTCTGGTCACTCATGGTTATTCCTGTATTCTCATTAGCGACGACTGTACGAAGCTTTTTTGAGAAGTTAGATAGTTCTTTCAGCTTTTGATGGCTCACCTCTAGCTGCATTGACGGTACAATTTCTGTTTAATTTTTACCTTCTGTTATAATTTTTGTATGTTTATCTGTTTCTTTATGTGCTGATGTGCATGTTCACGTCTATCAAATGTTGAAACTATGCTTTTATGATTTTGGATCTTTTTAGCTACAAAGAATATTTTTCAGGGATTTTTGTTGTCAGTCACCTGTAGAGTTTTATGCTTCCAGTCTGATTAGAAGCCCAAGGATAGTACCACCTTTAGAATAAGTATTTGTTGCAATACTGAGATTTTAGTTGTGAGCATATTTTTAATGGTTATTTATGTGAACCCAAAAAGATTTCTTTTTCTTCTCTGAGTCTGTTTGAAGGTACAAGAAAATTCCGAATCTCTTTTTTAAATAGAAATAGTTTTTGGGCAATGCTTTCAACTGGAGGATTGACCTTCTACTGCAGTTGCAGCCTGGAATGTTTATTTTAGGATATGAATGTGGTAAGACAGAATTTATCATTTCTCAGATTTTGACAAGATAAACATTTCACTTCATAAAGTAACTTGTCTCTTTTGTATATCTGCAGTGTCCAAACTTTTCTGGTCATATTTGAATTATTTATGATTGGTTGTTGTTCATTAATTAGCTGTTATTTTAGGTGACTATCTCAAACAGTTTGTGTGGTCACTTATACAGTTGTGATGTAGTTAGCTATTTCCCTTGAATCATCGTATGAGGTAATAAGAAAATTACCAATCGTTTAAAACAGATTCTGAAAAAAATATGTGATCACCCACTTCTCTTGACAAAGAGAGCCGCTGAGGATGTACTGGAAGGGATGGATTCAATGCTAAATTCAGAAGATGCTGGTGTCGCAGAAAAATTGGCAATGCATGTTGCTGATGTTGCTGAAACAGATGACTTTCAAGATAATCACAACAATCTCTCATGCAAAATATCGTTTTTACTCTCACTTTTGGTTAGACTCCGCTTATGTATAGATTGATGTCATGGTAAAATAATCTTGTTCTTAAGCTAATGCTTTTTATGCTATTTTACAGGACACTTTAATTCCAGAAGGCCACCATGTTCTTATCTTTTCTCAAACCCGTAAAATGCTCAATCTTATTCAGGTTTGTTCTAGAGCTTAACTTTCTAACTCATTTTCCTTCCAAGGCAGCATGTTATGTAATTTTTCAAGCTTCTGATAGTTTTACTTGTTAGTGTGAGAAAATTATAAGGCATTTTTATGGATTAAGTTTTAGTTCGACGGAAGAAACTTTTGGCCATGTCTGGAAATTGTCCCTTAAATGTTTTAATTACCTGCTCCGCACATGCCATCCCCCCCTTCTTTTGTTTGTTTGTTATTTCTCCCCTGCCCTCCATACTTTCAAAGAGTAGCCCATTTCCCCTTCCTTCTCTTTCACTCCCTATTGGGTTTATTACTTAATGCTTTACTTCTTGTAGTGTTAGCAAAATTATTGCTTGCACTGTTGTAGTTGCTCCATTACATTTGCCAATTTAGTTGTCAGTTGTGAGACAATTGTTCCATATAGTTCTTTTCCCACCTTAAAGCAGACATTACCTTTTAGAGGTCTATTTCTTACTCATTTTTCCTGAAGAGAAGAAAATGAAGTTTCTTAATAGTGAGATGTAATAAATTGGGTAATGTGGAGCGTGATTTCTTGATTGCTTAGATATTTGTAGTTAGCTGAAAACCTTAGCAAAAACCAGTGTTAAGCTTTGCATCTGAAGGTTATGTAAAAAATACATGGCTGAGAATCTCTTGCATTTAGACTAATTAATTATCCAGAACCATCTGACCATTGTTTATAATTAATCTCTTGCATTTAGACTAATTAATTATCCAGAACCATCACACCATTGTTTATAATTGGTCCTTCTATGATGAATTTAAGGGAGCTCATATTTGATATAGCCAATATGTGTCTGGGCATGTTGTGTACATCTTTTGATCTATAAATCACTTTGAACTGTTATTTTACTCAAAAAATTACACTACCGGTGATAAAGTAACTCTTTCAAGAAAATTAAAATGTAACGTCTATCAGATTTCACTGAGAAAATGAAATGGTGGATTCTGTTAGATATTTATTCCATCTGTGATTGCAAGTTTTTATTTGATCTGATAATTTTCTTGAGTGAAATCTGTCTCATTTTGACATGAGGTTTGAAACAAATTTCTCTATTACATGTAAACTGTCATTTGCATATAAAATTAAAAATTCATTTACATGGACCTTTGTCCTTCAATAAGAATTATTATCAGAATTTGAAACTTGAAATTTAACAGGTTTCAATTTGTTGTCATGCACAATTAAAAAAACATAATAGTCTCCTTCCTCTTTTCTCTTCTTTTTCTCCCTGAATATGTTAAAAGATATGGCATCTACTATTTTTTCACCTTGATATACTTTTCTGTATGATGAAATAATGTTCTTAACTCGTTAATTGTATATTATAATACTATGATTGTTGAACAAAATTCATCTGTTCTGAAACTTTACTGTCAAAGGAACTTTGAATTGGGGAAATTTTTCATGACATTTTTAAATGCAACTGAGTTTGACATAGCCTGAGAAGTAACTTGAAGATTGTTAAAATTGCGTTTTCTTCTTGATTTGGAATTTATCATACATTAGACTTTTGTGTCCAAGGCAACCTATGATTAGCTAATTGTTCACAGGAATCTCTAGCATCAAATGGCTACAAATTTTTACGTATTGATGGTACCACAAAAGCAAGTGACAGAGTAAAGATTGTTAATGTAAGCGCTTTTCAAAAATTATACTGGTGACAAATTCTATCATTGCTCATTTGTTTGTGTCACATGATTTTCATTTCTCTTTTATTTTCAGGATTTTCAAGAAGGTATTGGGGCTCCTATATTTCTTCTGACATCGCAAGTTGGTGGTTTAGGCCTCACACTTACAAAAGCAGATCGTGTCATTGTGGTTGATCCTGCTTGGAATCCAAGGTTTTTTCTTAAGCTGTTCAATTAATTTGTTTCTAATATGATTTGATTGATACACCCTATTTAATTTAAGAAATGAGGAATTTGGTAGAATAATATTAGTTTGTCTAATCACAAAGATAATGTAAGGGGTGTATTTTTCTATATTTCTAATTGAATATATATGTCTTTACATTCTTGTGGCAACTTGGCTGTGTGAGAACAAATACGACACTGAAACAAAAAAAGGAGGGGAGGGGGCTCATGTTCTCTTTAGAACCTTTCCCTCCCAAGTCCTTTGGTTTACCTCAAGTTGGAATGCCTGTTTTGGTTGTGTGGAGCAATTATTAACCATATATTACTTGGGGATTCTTTTAGGTCTATAGTTGTAGTTTGTTAAATGAAGAAGCTTGAAATTCAAGTAATAGAATGAGTTGCACCAAATTATCTGATTCATTTTGATTCTTTCTATGCATGTGGCATGCGTGCATGCAGCACATGCCAGGGGGTGGGGCAAATGGGATTTTGCTAATTAAAAGTAACACCATTTTCTTGCCCGCCAATAATAGTCATCAGCAGAATTTGCCATGAACAGGGGGAACTGCTGCCCAATGAATGCTTTGTCTAAATTTTGCCTGCCAAAAGTTTTATATGTACATATGATGCTGTCAGAAATACAAAGTTGAACACCCTCAATTTTTCAATAATTTTTTCTTGCTAAATTATTTAATTTTTATCTTATGTTTTTAAAAAGAAAAAATGGTGGATACCTGTAAAAACATCCTGAGGCATACATGGTGTTGGTGGAGGTCAGAGGATTGGGCTTGTTGAGAACAATTGATGAAATGATGCAAAGTTCTTCATCTGATTTTAGTTAACTGGTTTTGTTTTTCCCACATTTCTCCAATTATATTTTCCCTATTCTAGTTTTAATGTTACAAACAAACCATGCTGCTATGCATTTGAAAAATGTGTTTCCTTCACCTAAACTACTTTTGCTTCTATGGGAAGGTCACCATCATGTTTCAGGGTTAATAACTAATTTATACTTTTGCAGCACGGATAACCAAAGTGTTGATCGTGCATATCGAATTGGGCAAAAGAAGGATGTCCTTGTTTATAGGTTGATGACCTGTGGAACTGTTGAAGAAAAGATATATAGAAAGCAGGTTTAAACAGAACCCCAAAATTTTCTTGTTATTTTCTGCAATGTAGATTATTTTACACTACCTTTATGTTAAGTTGCTGGAGCTTCCTGGTGGGCCATATTGCTGTAATTTATTGTAACTGTGCATCAAGACATCAATGTTAAATTTTTCTGATAACAGTAACTATTTTGAGACAATATATAGGAACATTCTAGTTTACATGTACGATTCCCATGCTTCTGGCCTTTTAGCAATGATTCTATATTTCCTTTGTTTTTGTTTTTTCTTGATAGTGTGTCAACTATAAGTAAGATTATTTTCGCCAATTTACTTTACCAAAAATTTGTGATCCAGATATATAAGGGGGGATTGTTTAAGACTGCAACTGAGCACAACGAACAGATTCGCTACTTTAGCCAGCAGGTTTGCTTTAACTAAAAACTTGTCCTGTGGAATTTTAAGCATTTAGTGCTTTTGATGTGCTTGTTATACACTTGTACTTACATTTGAATATTTCTTTCAGGATCTTCGGGAACTTTTCAGTCTTCCCAAACAGGGGTTTGACATTTCACTCACCCAAAAGCAATTAAATGAAGAGCATGATCGTCTACATAAAATGTACTTGTGCTATCTATCAGTATGGTTAAAATACAATGGCAAATCTGTGCTAGTCATATCTTGTTTTAACTGCAGTGAAGTAGCACAAATTATAAGGGCAATGAAGCCAATAGTATGGTGAAATTAACTCTTTCTGTGGTAGTGTTAATCAAGAGCTAGCATATGCTTGAACATGCTATAGTTTTCTTGAATATAGAGTCCTGTTGCGAATTATTTATTTTCCTGTTGTGGATGAACTCAATAATGATTTTTTTTTCTTTTTAAATCTAGTTATTTCTTTGTTTATATATAATAATACACAATATAATAGATGCAATGGTATAGAGCAACATAGCACTGGCATGTCTGCAGGTGCACAATTTAATTTGACTTTCCTGATCTTTTTGCTTGAATTCATTCTATTATGCATTCTTTCTCTATATTTTGATTTTTATTATTGGTCTTTCAGGGATGAGTTATTGGAAACCCACATAAAATTCCTGGAAACGCTGGGAATAGCAGGAGTTAGTCATCACAGTCTACTTTTCTCTAAAACAGCACCTGTACAAGTTGTAGAGGAAGAAGATGAAGACATACGGTGAAAACCCTGCCTCTTTCTTGCCCCCTAATGTCTTTGGACCCAAATGATATAGTTAGTTTATGGATTATAGATCATGTTTGCCATCAAAATTCTAACCATTCCAAACATGAACTGAACTTTATCTTCATTGTTGAATCAGGAGAAAAGGAAATACAGTAGTGGGGCATTCATCTTCAAGTTCTTCAGTTGTACAGAATATTGATGGGTACTTATGATTATCATTTACTTTCAGGATATGTCTGGAACATGGTATTTATTGCTCACATGTTTAACAGGGCTGAATATGCTTTCAAGCCAAAGGATATCAAAGTGAGCAGGAAAATCTCTTCCCCTGGTGATGCAGCTAAATTAACTGAAAGTGAAATTAAAGAGAGAATTAATCGGTTGTCTCAAATATTTGCAAATAAGGTATGATTTTGAACCCAATTTCTTCATTGATATAATTTTGTGCATGGAAATCTTGTGGGCATTAAATATTACTGTATTTTCAAGCTGCTAGGCAGTTCAGGTGATGCCATGTTTGATGGTTAAATAATGCAAGCTAAAGCAAAGTTTAATGAATAGCTGGGTTGTCTTACATATGGTCAAATATTTTTTCTTATTTTCTGGTTGGGCTTGTTTGCAAAATTATATTTGGATCCTGCTCCAATTGATTTTATTTATCAATTCATGTAATGTTTTCATAGATTTCATTGTTTCTGTGTTAGTAGTATTAGATCTTAAGCTTAAACCAGAGCGATTTACAGCTAATTGAAACATCGCTGTTTATGTTAATATCATTATGTGATTTAGGTCAAAGTTCAAACTATTCAACATTAATTTTAGATCAAGCCTGTAGAACTTGTGTAAATCATCTAGCCTATGTTTGTCTTAGATGTAGGCAAGCAATGAAACTTATATGGTTTTTCCATCTCCCTTTAATTTTATATCAATCTCTGAACATATCTTAGGTCCAATTGTATTTTGTTTTTGCATAACTTTGAACTCTTGTTTAAGGCCTACTTGTTTTAATCTTCCAAAGTTGTCAACAGATTACTGTTTCAAGGTTGCCTGATAAGGGAGCAAAGATAGAAAAGCAGATTGCTGAACTGAATGAAGAGCTCTTCAAGATGAAGATGGCAAAAGAAACTGAAACTGAAGTTGATGTAGATGATATAACTGGAGAATTTCAAAGAGTGTTGAATGTATAGATCAGGGAAATGCTCGGTAATCTGTATTTTACAAATCTGAATCTAGTCCGGCCAGACACAAGCAAAACTGGCTTGATGTTTAAAAAGATTTACAGCATTCAGATAGGCTTTGGATTGAAAATTTCAGACAAGTCTAGCACTGGCTCTATATAGATTTTTGTTCGGAAGTTTGGGAATAGCAAAATGCATATTTTGAGGGTGGACTTAAATCTCTCTATAAGAAGCTATGAACATCAGAGTTATCTGTTGACATGCTTCTTGTAATCATGTTTCCTGAATGCAATATGTCATTATGGATCCATTTTTGGTTACAATGCGCCAATTTACTTCAAAGTTTAACTCTTGCTTTTTTCATGGAAGGGACAATATGTAAGGGCATCATTCGGATTATCATGTTATATTTTCTTTGTTGTAAAGTGGTTTATTTGGATGAAATGGTTATGGTTTGATGAATTTTTTAATGATATATATATATATTTTTGTAATTTAAAAGTTGTAACCAAACTGAATTTGCGTGGTTTGATTCAATTACTTTGTTTAGTCCATTTAAATTTTTAATTTTTTTTATCATATTTACTTAATTTTTGCTAAAAAAAACTTTAAAAGCCGTTTGGTTCATGAATTTTAATTTTTTCTTTTATAATTTAATTTTCTGCTATCTGATTTTTTTTTATTTTGTTCATAAATTTTTTTCATTTCAAGAATTTTACAATCCTAAAGTGTTAACAAGAAGAAAAATAGGGGAATAAAAAATTTTCATCTTTAAGAGATTCTTTTAAATTTAGAAGGGAAAAAAATTTATGTCATTTACTTTTACTTAATTACATTTTAGATTACATAAACAATACTATTTATTTTAGAAATGTAATAATTCTATATTTTGTTTTTATTTAATTTTTAAAATTTAATAAAAATGGTGTTTTTAAAATAAAGACATGCATCTTTGTTGAAAATATGAATTTTTTTAAAATTGAATAAAAATGACATTTTTAAGATAAAAATATGATATTTATTAAAAATATAAAAAATTTATTTTTTAGAATTATTAAATTTCAACAATGATGCATTTTTAAGATTAAAAATATGATTTTTGTTAAAAATATAAAAATTCTATTATGATAAAATTTATTATTACATTAGTTTTAAATCTGTTATGCATAAGTAAGCAAATCAATTATAAATTTTGTTAGATATAATGTTATCTAAAAATGAAATGTTTTAATTTAAAAAAATTATTCATGATAAAATATTTAGAATCTACTTAATGGAAAATAGTATTCATTCTGCCACTTTTTTCCGTAAAATTTTGGCACTCATGTGGTGATAATCTATTGGATTTAATAGTAATATCTCAGTTAGAAATATATATATATATATATATATATATAAGTTGACTTATCCTAAGAAAAAATTAAATATGAAAAAAATGAACATTGACTTTAGGAGTTAATTGTTCAAGAGTAATCTTTTTCAATCGAAAAGTTGACCCAAACGAAGTAAAATAATATAGCATAATGGTTGCACAAATCAAATAAGAATAAAAGTATTGGATCAAGAGAAATATTTATTAAGAAAAAATCAATAGAAATTTAAAGTTTTAAGTTAAAAATAAAATAGTTAATAGAATTTTTGTGGCGATAAGAATAACAATACCTAATTATGAAAGGTCTACTCTTAATGTAAAGATTTTTGCTTGGACGTAAAAGGTGAAGCCGAATAACTATAAGACAAACATAACAGTATTTTGGGTAGAATTTTTGCTGGAAGAGAAGGTCTTAAACATGTACTAGTCAATTATGTTAGAAATGAACATAAAATTCTAGTTGTTTTTTTATTTTTAGTGATCATCTTTTTACATTAATAATGTAGCTCAACCTAAGGTATCTTATTTGTAATTTTTTTTTGAAATAAAGTAAAATATAAATATTAAATATTAATAGTTGACTAACAATGGGGGTTGTAAACAAATCAAACATGAATAAAAAAAATATATGTTCGTAGTTTGTTTATTTTTAGAGATGTTCGGTTTAGTTCGTGTTCGATAATAAAATTATTTTGTTTGTTTAAGTTTGATTCATTTAATTGATAGGATATATGAGTTTGGTTTGTATTCGTCTCAATTAATTTAAATGAATTCGTTTATGATATTAAACGAATATATTAACGAACATATATATATGAATATGTTCATAAATAATAAGTAAATCATAATCAAACAAATTTAAATAACTAGACTTTAAATGAGCATAAATAAACTTAAAACGAATACAAATGAACCCTAAAATAAGATTAGGGTAATAGTTTTGTTATTATTATTATTATTATTGAACAATAAACGAATATAAATGAATTCTAAATGAACCATACATGGACAAATTTTAAATGATTTTAAATAAGCTTATTTGTGAATATAAACAAATCAAACAGATCTATGTTCTTGTTTAATTTATTTAATAAACGAATAAAGAATTGTTGTTCAAGATAATTTGTTAAACTCAATAAATGAATATAAATAAATAAAAATAAAATATGTTCATAAGTAATTTATCAAAAACTTTATTTGGTTACACTCTTAACTAACAATAACATTAAAATTAAGAGTAAATTTCACAAAAGGTATTCCAATAAGTAATAATGCTCATTTAATATATAAGCACTCCTAAAATTATAAATGTTATGAAAATAGAATCAATGAAAATTTTTCCTGAAAGCTGATTTTGCATATAAATTATGTGTATAGATTTAAGTTGTAGAAAAAAATGTTACTTGTGTTTTAAATACATTAAATGAAAATGACATTTTGCATGTTTTTATAAATTATATGAAACTCGACTTTTTCTAAATTTTTAAAAAATTTTGAAATAGCTTTAAAAATATAGTAAAAAAAAAAAGAATAGCATGATAAAATGTTGATTAAACAATTATATTGAATCAATGTTTTTGAATTATTTAATGAAATAACTATAACTTATTATAAACCTAATAATACTTATCTTGTTATATATCAAAAAAATGAAAATTAAAAAACTATTTTTAACAATTTTCATTTACGCTTGAACAATAATTAACTCCACCTTGAGGTAAATCATAAAATGTTAATATTAAAGCAACAAACATATTGAATAACTGAAAAAAAGGCCTATATTAAATAAAAATCATTTCATACAAAAAATAAAAAGAATGCATATTTAATACATATGATAGAATAGGTAAGAGCAATCACTTTCTTCTAATTTACCAAATAACTTGCTCTTTTATTTCATAATCCAAAAAGAGAAGAATGATGGAAATTTGGTATACAAATCAATACCATAACAAAAATTTATGAAAATGTATAAAATAATATGTACAAATATGTGTATAATTTAAATTACAATAGAACTAATACCAATAGCCAAAACATAAAATAAAAATCCAAATCATTAAATTTTAAAGAAATTTTGCTTAATTTTCTTAAAACTAAAACAAATTATTTTGAAGGGAATCTCTTTTTAAAATGATTTTTTTTTCAAAAATAACTTATTATATGATTATGATGAAACATTAATTTAAAAGATTTTAATTCAAATGAAAAAAATAGAGTAGTAACTAAAATAATATAAAGCCAAACATAAAATAATAAAAAACTTTAAAAACGTAATTTGATTATATTAAATTTTGTGCATCTAATCTACCTACACGTATAACATCACAAAGCAAAAAAATTATTGTTGCAAAATCTCTTTGATTTGTACCAATTTTTTAAAACAAAATTTTTAAATATTTTTATCTCTTTTTTATATATTATATTCATTCAATTTTTATAATTGTAACATTATATTATTTCAAATTACAAATGCTATTTAATTTACTCACTTCTATAACAATAACGAAACGATAACAATAACAATAACAATAATAATAATATGCTCATTTAGGATTGTATAACTAAGTTAAGAAAAACATTTATATTAGTAAAAGGCCTTATTTGAATTGATTTAAATTCAAATATGTAGAGAGTTAATTTCAAGCATAATAGATGTTCAAAATATGATAATTTATATTTTTTAGATTTACATTGAAGTATTTTAACTTAAATTTGCATAATTTTTTACTATGAAAAATTATTTGATATATTGTAAATGGAGTTTTTTTAACTCCACGAATGGGGTTAAAATGATGACAAATGTCCCATTTCTTTTTTAAATTAATTTTTTAAATATACAAAAAAACATGTAACACAATCTAAATCCCGTTTGTGGAATAAAAGCTCTACTGTTAGTGTATTTGATAATTCCTCTTTGACTATAAATGATAATAATTTATTGGTCACATATATCATATAATTGATGATGTGAAATAACATCACTAAATTAGAAAAATATTATGTACCAATTAAAATTTTCACAAAAGCAATTTAGTTTTCAATTAAATAAGAAAACAAATAAAATTAAAAATAATGGGTGCATGAAAAAAATCATTATCCATTTCTCTCTCTCTCTCTCTCTTTTGTTTTTTTGTTCACTTTTATTCTCAAGTTTTTCTTGCACTATAATTGTTAGTTATCAACGTTGGTATTGTCGTCTACGTCATTGCTCATCTCATCTAGGTAGCCTTTGATTTTTTTTTTTATGCTCGAAGACCATTAGTTTTAATGCTATAAAATCCTTCTCTAAATTCCTATGAAGATACTGAGCTATCGACTTTATGATTTCTCTCAAATTCATTAAAAAAATTCATATTTGGTTATTTGGTTTTATCTTCCAATTGCTTTGTTTAATATTTGGTGATTTTAAATTGAGTGGATTGTGGAATTGATGCTTAGAACATATTGTTGTAATTTTTGTAGTATATTATCTTCAACTTTGAATTCACAGCATAATTTTAAGTGCTTATATAGGTTCATTTGTTATATTTTCTTTACCATAGACATAGTGCTTTTGAGCTTGGTACTCGTAATATTGAATCTAGTGAGAATCATATTATTATTGATCTTGATTTTTGACTATTCTTTTTATTGGGAAAAAGATTCATCTTGGGTTGCTAAGATTGGTTTAAAGTTTCATTACAAGAAAATTTTCATATACTGACGCTTGGTTGTAATAATATTTATATTCATATAAATATTTTTCTATGTTATTTGTAAAAATTTTTTTATAAAATAATATTTATCATTCACTGTATTAGCAGTTTGGGATTCCAAAGTTTAAGAAAGGAGAATGAATTTTAAAAATGATCACAAGGTGTTTGACCAAAAATAACACTTTCAATTTTTTGTAAAAAATATTCAAGGTATTTTCTAAGCAAAAACACTTTGAATATTCCAAAAAACAAAATGTTGGGATTATTGAAGGTATTTTTGACAGAAAATAATTGAATAATCCTTTCTAAATGAATAATTCATGAATTATTGAAGGAGTTTTTGACCAAAAATACCTTGAATAATTCACGAATTATTTAAGG